TTAAGACCAAGGTAAAGCAGGACCTGTGCAACAAGAGTTGTAGCTTTTTGGTCTGAGAAGGTCAGTGAAATGCCCTCAGGATTTGTCCTGAGTCCCCATCAATTTTGAAAGATAGTTTTTTGAGGTATACCAATCTCAGTTGGAGGTTTTCTTCTGGGCTTGAAATACCTCAATCCAGGCTCTCCTCAATTTGAGGGTGTGTTGAGAAGTCTGCTGTGATTCTGATGGACTTTCCTTTATAGGTGATTTGTTTCTTGTCTCTGCTTTTAATAATCTATTTTTGTGTTCAGTTTCTAAAATCTTAACTATTATATGCCTTGATAAAGGTTTATTTTGGTCTTTGCTGTTTGGAATTCTGTATGCTTTGATTATTCTATGTCAAATTCTTCATCTTTTGGGGGAAGTTTTCTGACATGATTTATGTGAAGAGGTTCTTTATGGCATTTGCACTATCTCCAGCTTTCTCATTCACCCCAGTTCTTTGCTTCATCTTGCGAGTGTTGGATTGACTTTTCATGGTCTTTTGTTGTTTTTAAAATCTCTTCCTTTTCCTGCTCATTAGCTGGAATCCTGCCTTCTAGATCTGATATTCTATCATTACCTTTGTTTAATCTATTGCATATACTTTCTTCTCCTTTCTTTTTCTCTGATTCAGGGTCTCACTATGCAGTTTGGAGCTAGTTCTGGAGCCAACACAGTACTGGGGATTGAACTTGGGACCTTGTACTTGCCCATCAGGTGCCTACATTGCCGAGCTATCTCCCCAGCTCTTTTGCATATACTTTCAATTGAAATTTTAACTTTTGGGATTCTGTTTGGATCTGTTTCATGGGTTTTACTTCTTTTATATGCTGGATATTTATGGTTTCTATCATTTTCATCACTGTCTACTCTGATATCTTTCATTTTGATCATCATTTCTTTTTGTACCCGAGAGATTATATTTTTCCTATTTCCTTTTTTCTTTTTCACTTTTGCTGCTATCGTTAAACTTCCAGTGCTTGAACTTTTGGTTTCCTCTATCTCTCTGTGCTCTGGGCTTATCCTCAGTTGACTGGGAGTCTGGGGTTGCATTTTGCTTCTGTCTTGTCATTTTTTGTTTTCTAATTTTTCTTTTGTTTCTTTTGTTGCTGCTTAATAATTTCTTGTAGCTAGCTTTATCACCAGTCTCAAGGCTTCCCTAGGTGATGTCTGTTCTTCAGGGTTGTTTTCTAGATATAGGTGGTTCTTTATGTTTATTTCAAGAACCTGTCTTCCCTGTTGTTGAGGATAAAAAGTTGCTATTTGGTTTAGTGCCCAGTCCTCTGATACTGGACTGTGGTAATAATTATGAACTAAAACCATCAGCGTAAGGGAAAAAAACTGATTATAACGTATATGACATCCTGGTCCAAGCAGTTCAGCTAGCAACAGCATCAAGTACAGCTGAGCTGCTGACAAACTATGGCAACTGTTATCCTGATGCCTTGACCATAATATCAAATTCTACAGTTATAAATTACCTCCTAAAATTTTGATGTACCCAAGCGAGTAATCATTGTCTACTTATCCAACATATACCAGCAACCAGTACACAGTGATATTCCCTTTAGTGGAGTGATTTGACCCTGTTGTGGAGGTGAGGTGGTGTCAAGAGGGGAAAGGGACCTGATAGATTATTGAGGTCAAATAAAGTAAAAACAAGCCTGAATGGCAAAGGATCATCACCCAAGTTTTGGGAATTTGGTGGACACACAAAAGAAAGGATGAAAGAGAAAATGTAAGAGTTTTGAAGTGAATCAGGAAGAAAAAAATGATGTTTACTCACTGGGGGACATCATAATTTTAAGAGGTAAGTGAGGAAAGAGAAAAAGAGTATGAGTAGAAGAGAGAAAAGGTAAAAAGAACAACCACAAAAACTAAAACCCAACCAAAACAAAGATAACCACAAAAACAAAAAAACACCTTGATCAGACATAAAAAGGATAACCAATCAGACAAACTTTACAATCAGTAAAGTTCCTCAGGTGTTCACAGGTCTGTGGTATTATCCAAGTCAGTTCCCAGAAATGTGCGG